TCTTATACTCCATATGATATGACAAATTTCAAAATAATTCTAGCCCCTAAGTTTAATTTTATGACTCTATTTGTGGAATTTTTCAAGGAAATGTTTTTAATGCAATGAATTTGATGGCAACATGAGATCATTGGTAACAAGTATAGTTTAAGTAAACCCAATGTTATAATAACAATAACTCTGCAAGAAAAAACAGCCTTGCAAAGGTGACAGTTTGTAGTAACATTCTGGAAAACAGGATTTGAGACTTGTTTTAACCAGTAATGCCTATACCACGTATGGAGAGTAGAATGAGGAGCTCATTTGGTAACTCAGGAAGAACAACCTTTTACTTTCTCTGTCTGACCTTGTCAAAATGATATGGATAGGAAATAGCTTGCTACAGCTTTCAATCTGCCACTAGATTTGGCATTATAAAACAGAATTATTTTTGGAATGTTTTAAACTGAAAGTTCAAGTTTATACTTTATAGAATTTATCACTGTTTTCTACTTTGGAATCAATGAATTTCTGATTTGCATGCATCCTCTTATTGGTTGATTTATGAAGTATTCTACTTCATACTTTTCTGTAGGTTAGAACACTAACCTGACATCTGTAGTTAGAATTTTCACTCACTGATTCAGATAACTGGAGGACCCGCTGCTCTGAGGTCTGCCTGTGTGGCTCTTTGTGGCTTTACACCTTCTCAGCTCTGTCAGCTGCACCAAGGTTCCCATTGAAATATTTCTCCCTTGACACAGTTACTTGTGCAACTAATATGATTTCGTAGTACCCAAACTGCCCCCTATGCTTTTCCCATGAAGACCTGATAGTAAAGTCTGTAGAGTTTGCAGATCACGTAGCCTGTGTTGTGAGTAAACAGCTCTGCCCGGCAACCGTCAGACAAATCAGAGACTGTCTACATAGCCTTCTGTCTACAAAACTTGGTTTTTGTGCCCTGAAACTTCAATTTCACATACTTTCCATGTGTCATGAAATAGCATGTTCTTTTAATGCTTTTCAACCATTTAAAAATGTGGAGACATTTCTTAGCTCACTGACTGTCCAGTAACAGGATCAGGGAGAGATCTGACCAGCAGGCCAACTCAATCAAGCCTGCTATAGTTGGTACATTAATCAGTTTTCCATTACTGTACCAAGTACCTGAGATAAATTTACTTAAAAAGAGGAAGGGTTTGTTTTATCTAACAGTTTTTCAGGCGTCAGTCCACGGCCAGTTGATTATTGCTTTGGATCTGTGGCAAGTTATGAGAGAGACATGGAAGAAAGCCTTTTGCTTCAGGAACTACAATTAAAAAAAGAAAGAAAGAAATCTTCTTGAAAGCTCACCCCTAATAACCAGAAGACTTGCCTCTAGACCCTACTTCTTAAAGTGTCCAATAGCTCCAAGCTGAAAACTAAGTCTTTAGCAGTTTTCATGCACAGTGTGCAATGATTAGTCACAATGCAGGATTTTCTAAAGTCACAAATCTGCGTTGTGAGGACATGGATTTACTAGATATATGTTTCTATTGTGAAATTAGGTGAGCTACGAGTAGTACAGAAAAACTAGTGTATATAATTCACTGGGTTGGGTCCTATAGCTAATAGAATTCTAGTTAATTTTACTACTTACATCATTATATTATGGATTGAAATAAAATTCTAAATGGATTTTTTCATAAATTTGCTGCACAACACAAAGAATTTAGCCTATTATATAGCATATTATATCTTACCTCATGAAAATTGTAAGATTTGTTATATTGATCTTTTAATTTTTTGGAGAGTGGTACTAGGATTTGAATTCAGGGCTTCATTAAAATTTGTTTTAAGCTAGGCATCAGTGGCATAGGTCACTAATTCAAGCTACTCAGATGCCTGAGAAATGAGGATCACGGTTCTAAGCCTTTCTGGGCAGGATAGTCTGTGAGACTACTTTCTCTCTCTCTCTTTTTTTTTTTTTTTGGTCGGTCGTGGGTCTTAAACTCTGGGCCTGGGCGCTGTCCCTCAGCTCTTCAGCTCAAGGCAAGCACTCTACCACTTGATCTACAATGCCACTTCCAGTTTTTTGGTGGCTTATTGGAGATAGGAGTCTCACAGTCTTTCCTGCCAGGGCTGGCTTTGAACCGCGGTCCTCAGATCTCAGCCTCCTGAGTAGCTAGGATTACAGGCGTGAGCCACCAGCGCCCGGCTGTGAGACTACTCTCTAATTAACCATCAGAAATTCTGCAAGTGGAACTGGGACTCAAATGGTAGAGTACTATCCTTGAGCAAAATAGCTCAGGGACAGTAAGTACCTGGGCACTGAGTTCAAGCTCTAACACCCATACCCCCCAAAAAGCGTGAATTTTGTCAGCGTCCATTATATGGGTATGTGGAAACATCATAATGAAATCCTTTTATTTAATTAATATATACTAACAAAAATAGGTCTGTGAAAAAATGTTTTAATTGCTATTGGACACTAAACACTAAGGAGTGAACAAAAATACCCGATATGAACTGCCTGATGACTAACCGTGTGACTCTGTGTCCTGGACCCCAGGACAGCACCCCCCCCCCCCTCCACGGGATGTGACTCGCTAGGAGGACTTGCAAGACTGGTCAGATCCCCGGCTCTGCCTCTGGAGGGGTGCGGGGAGTGGCCGCACAGGATGCCGGCCAGGGGCTTGGAGCCTGGGATTTCATGGGGAATGGAATCTGGTCATGGGGAGCTTTCTGACCAACACAAAGCACGATCCCCGACTCCCTGAGAAGAAGAAGGAATTGGGTTTGAAGAGCGAGTGCCTCCCTTCTCCAGACGGCTCTGTCTGCATGCCACCCACAGCAGTTCCTTCACAGCCCCAGCGCTCAAATGCCAGCCAGGCCAGGCTGACTATAAACTTTTAACAAGAGCAGCTTCAGGGCTGCTGGGACTCTGTGTGCCCTAGCTCCCGCCGACGCAGAGGTGAGGGCTAATGATCTGTGAGTTCAAAATCCGAGGCCTCCAAAGGTCTGGGTTAAGTGGCTGCTATTGAGTGGCTCTGTCTTCTTCAGGTGTAGCTCAGCTTCCACGTTCTGTGTTTTCTCTAGACTAGAACAGTTGTGCGTGCAGGTGTCCTTATATGTGTGTGTATGTGTGTGTGCGCGCGAATGTGGCATGTGTTCTTCTGTGTGCATGCGTGTAAGTATATGTGAGGTGTGTGTGGTGTGTGGATGTGGTGCACTGTGGTATCTGTGAATGAACATGTGTGTGAGCATGTGTATATGTGCGCGTGTGTACGTGCATGCAAGTGAAAGTGGCTCTTGCTCCTGCACAGCTTCCCTGGCATATTCACTACTTTCTGCTGCAAGGTGCCAGCTGCCATGAGCCGATTGCTCGAGCTGACCCTTGGGGACCCTTTGGCCCCTGCGACTTAGACACAGCTCAGTTGCAAGCGTCTGGTACCACAGACCCTGCTCCTCTGAACCTTCTCCATTCAGTGCCAGACACCCCTCAGCCCTCTGCCCATCTCCCTAGGTCCTTCTGCTCCCATCCGCAGAGACCCAGATCAGCACTTCCCTCCCTCCCTCTGCGGCCCTCTCCACGCTGGACTGCCACGGCCGACACCTGCTCACTTCCAGCCCTCCTCAAACTGTCATCCTCCTGAGCCTGGAGCCCCATTTCCAACTCTCTGTTGGCCCCAAAGTGCTTTTACCTCTCCTCTGTTTAATTCCATTTAAATGGCGTCTATGGAAGATGCAGGGTTTTAACTTCTGAGCTCTGGAGGTGTGACTGGGTCTGTAAAATTCCGTTTTCACATTTGCTTCTGAGCAGGTGAATCTACCCTTTGTCTCTAGAACATTTTAGGATCTTGGCAAAGTCCGGCAGGCACAGACACTTTTCCACTTCTCCAGCCTATTGCTCATTTCTAGAAAGAACAGGCATAGACCTCCTTCCAGCTGTGTCGCTGGTGTCACTGGCTGCTGTGACAGGCTGCTGTGCCTGGAGCCGGAGGTGGCTGCCAGAGCTCCCAAGGCCCAGGGGCAGGCGCGCGCCCCACACTGCCCCGAGGTTTTTGGTGAGTAATTTCCTAATACCCATTGTCATTTACAATCAACAATTAAAACCACAATGAACTTAAGAAAAGTATTTATCAGATGAGGAAACTACCCCGAAAGATAGAGATTGCATCTGCATTTCTTGGCAATTTTTCTTCACATCCACCTAGGTGCCCTCCTAGGGACCCAGGCTATTCTTCATGATGAAGAACAAGAAATGATAGTCGCCGCACACTATTTAATTTGGCTGCGGATGTTTGTTTGTTTGAGGATTTGGGCTATTTCATAGAACTGTGTTCAAACCATCTGCAAACGAAATACACAGAACTCTTTGTGCATTTGGAGCCATCATAGCGGTGTAGAAACTTAGACAAAGTTATGAAACAGACACCTGGAATACTGTCACCAAGCCTCTTTTTGACAGTAATGTACTAAGTGACCCATTCCTCTTAAGTGTGGTTTTTCCCCTGATTTAATACAAGACTCTTGCTGTTACTGGCATTTTTATTCCTTGAGTGCTCCGAGCCTTTGCTGCGCATGTCTTGGGTCGGCTGCTCCGGAGGTGCAGGGAGGCCGCGGTGGACACACGAGGTCTGCCCTGCAAAGCCCACGTCTTATGGGATGCAGAACACCATCCGCCAGCCATGCCACATGCGCAGGGATAGCTGCTGTGAAGCAAAGGGGAGATGAACTTCCTGGGAAGCCCACATTTCAACAGGCCCCTGAGGGAGGAATGGGAGTGGAAAAATGCCATCTCTAAACCCAGTGCCTAGTAGACGTATATATTTATGATGATAGTTTTGACCTAGCGGATCTCGCGAAGCATCTGGAGAGGCCCATGTGAATGTGTGGATGTGCATGGAAAGGCGGCAGGACTGCTTGCTTTCTTGTCTTACCACCGCACCATGCGAATGGAAAGACGCTAGAAAATATGCGAGCGAGTACATTTGCATTATAATGAGGCAACAAGATGATGATGTCTTTTCTTTTCCAAGGGTCCATCTTGCTGGGAAGACGTCTTAATTCCAAACCGGATGCGAGGTGAATGCCAGTCCCCAGACTGCGCCGGCACGCGAGCTGTGAGTACCTGAGCAGAGTCTTCACTCTAGTGTTTACCAAGAAACTAAACTCAACAGAGACAAACATGCCCTCGAGTTCACCCTGGGGGGATAATATGCACATGTGTTCAGAACATTCACGGAGAGTTCTCCCTGTAGCACTGCCTTCAGTGTCACTTCTCGAGTGAAAACTACTTTTGGTGATGTGCATGCACCTGTGTGTGCGCGCGCACACACACATACATACATCTCTCTCTCACACACATACGCACACACACAGAGTCTTCACTCTTCCAACTTTAACAGTCAACACAGCAAGTGTCCACAACCCCAGAAAGTCTAGGAATTTCTCCCAGCACCAGGCTAGCGCTCTGCAGCCGTGGAGACTACTGAGTGGCCTCTAACTGAGTTCTGTTCTGACACCATCTGCCTGGAGACCGCCTCCCGTCCCATAGGACCAGGACTCTGCTCCAACCTACCCCTTCCTCACATGCCAACCCCAGTACCACATTTCGCCTCTGCTTTAAATCAAGGTTCCCACAGCCCCCATCTCTGTTTGCTAGGGTGATCCAGAGGGGCACAAGAACATTCTTCTGGCTTATTTACGAGCAATCATCCAAAGAACGCAGCTGAGGAGAGGCACAGGGCAAAGTAGAGCTTGGGTGGGGAGGGGCCTGTGTCTCCCCCTTGGGGTCCCTCTGGCTACCAGGAGCCTCCCTGCCCACACCCTGTCCTCTGGGGGTGCACAGTGTCTTTGCTACTCAGGCGTGACTCAAGCCATTGTAGTCATTGCTCACTCTCTGAACCTTGAACTCCTCTGGCCTCTGGATGTTGGACAGTGGGCTGATGGTGCCAACTCTCTTAATTCTGCCTCATCTTCCTGGTAGCTGGCCCCAGCCTAAACCTTCCTACGGCTCCCCGCCACCCGCCAACTCAGCCTACCAAAAATACATTCCAGGGCCCCTAGGAGCCGAATGGCCGGCATCAGGGACCCAGAGGAAACGTCCAGCGGCTCACAGTCTCCCAGGTGACTTGCTGAAATGTGTCAACTCAGACTTCCTTACAAAGTGTTAGTTGTGGGCAGAAAAGAAGACGCTACGGGAAGGGGCTTGTTCTGAGCCTGCCAAGAGACAAAGAAAAGAGATACAACATCAATCTTATTTCCCAGTGCTGATATCTTTTATTTATATTCCATATCATTCAGAGCTTTCCTTTCTGCTTTCTCTCTTCCTACTTTTCTTTGGCAGTTTTCTGACATGGTAGACTATTAGAAAATGTGTTGTGGCTGGCCAGCTATATAACTGAATCACCAGCCCCTGTTCTTTGTAACTTTTCTCTCTCTGTAAGCATATGCCATATGCTTCACAGAGAACAGATGCTTCTAGAAACGGACCCCAAGCTCTGAAGTTATTTTAAGAATAATTTTATGATTATGGTCACGTTTATTGCTTGTATTTTGTGTACTTTTTACCTCAGAAATCTTTGGGTCCAGCCCACTCTGACTGCCTATCCTTTCTGAACTGTAAATACTATCACGGTGCCAACACAAATGTCAGTGTTAGTTCGCAAACTGTCACAGCCAGCTGGCAGCTCATATCTCCTCTAAGGAACAAAGTCTGTCAGCAGCAACAGGTACAGTGTTTGAGTTAAATCATTAGAGGAGCCTTCCCTTGCCAGTCGGCAGGCTGATGGCAAGGGAACCAAGATAGCAGCGGCAGGGAGCAGTCACACACGCATTCTCCCTCAAGCTGGGCGAGGGACCAGGCACACGCACTCATTAATGCAAATTCTGAAGAGAGAAATCCTGGAGAAAAATAATGATGTGCGCGTCAATCACGGATATCAAAGCATAATACAATCTGTGACTTTCCTACTGGCATGGAATTAAAGTTTATATTTTTAGAGGGAAGAACTGGTAAGTATGAATATATATACACATGTATACTACTATGCATGTTATCATATACATAATATCTAGGAACAAATACATAATTTAGCTGTCGGTATGTGTCAGTACATGCAGTAATCACTCATCTATCCGACCATTTTTCTGTCCACCCTCTGGTTTGTAACCTGCTGGTCTCCACCTTGTCTTTATGGACACCTAAGTTCCTTTGAAAATCTATTTCAGCTGTTGACTGACTGCCTTTCCTATTTCTTGATGGTAACTGATGAGATTTAGTCAGAATAAATAATTCTCTAAGGATTTGGTTTCAAATCAGGCAACATAGGAAACTCTATAGTGGTGCTGAAAATCAAACCTTTTGCTTGTTGAATATGTAACTGACCTCCATTGTCAATGCAGTATAAAGTAATTTATATCACAATGCTATTTCTTGTAGCATGGTCAACTGAAATCTCTAAAAACCCCTTTGTAGTATACACTATAGAAAGATACTAAATTAAATTAAAGGTATGTATTTCTAAAGGAACAGTTGTGCTAGTAAGGAATATTTATATGCCAAAAATTAGGAGGAAACTATCCCAGAGAGTGAACTGTGTGAACTCCAGCCGGGCGCCACCTTGTGGCAAGCCCTGATTTCGGGGTTGAGGGCGGCCGTTTGAAGTCTAGGTCCTGTCCAGGCTGGAGAGGGCAGTGACACAATCCCATACAAAGTTGTAGAGTGCGGTGCTCTCGCTTGTGAGGGCCTTGGCAGGAGCCCTGCCTTTTTGGCTCTTGCTCAAGGTAAAGGAGGAAATGTTGCCTATCTTTATCCAAGTTGGAGCTACTCAGTAGTCGCTCTTACTACATGGTGTGTGGAGTCTGAAGCCTGCCACATTGTCTGGGTTAAGTTTGTGTGGACAGTAGTAGACACTGGGCTGAAATGAGCCGGGACCCTCTTAGGGGCTCAGATAATGCTTCATAGAGCTAGCAAAAAGAAAAAGCAGAAACCTCATGGAAATGACCTGCCACAACAGAGAAAATTCACATCCAAACCTGGAAACTTTTAAAAATTTTGAAATGATCAGGCAAAGAATACAAATATGCTTTCTGTGATATAACAAACGAATAAGAAACAAGACTGTCAGAAACTTCCAAAGATATTAAACACCCGCAAGAAATGTTAGAATTCATCATTACAAATATTGGCACCAATATTATTATAAATAGGCCAAGTAGCAAATAAGCCCTAGGTAAAAAGTAAAATCAAAACTTACATCTGAAACTTGACCTGGAATAGATATCCAGAATGCAGCCAGAAAAGAAATGGATTTACAATATAACATAGAGATAACAAAACATGAACATTTGAAGTTTCAAATGTTAGATTTACAGAAGGAAACGATAGAGAAAATGTTTGAAAGATATTATTTAAAGAAGTAATGAAGTAGAACTTTGCATAATTTTCAAGAATCCCAATGAGTTCCAAGTAGCATAAATAAAACAAAAGCCACATCTGAATAAATCACACTGAAAGTATGGATTGTCAAAGTCAAATACAAACGCAAATCAGCCAGCATGACGAAAACTCATTACCTACATAGAATGACAGTCCAACCGGTAGTTAATTAATCACCATGGTAAGACAGATGACAAAGGAACAGTATCTTCAGAGTATTGAGAGAAAATAAATTTTAAGCTAAATTATATTTGAGAAAAAAAATCTGCTAAAAATGAAATATATGGCCAACAATAAAAAGATATTTTCAGGCAAGTAGAAACTAAGGAATATACCACCATCTACACCTTACTTGATTACCTTTTATTCTCGAAACTTAATGGTGTACAAGGGAGTTGCCGTTTAACCAGTCTGTTCACGTGTCCAGTGCTTCCTGACCATCTCCCCTTCTCTCCTTCCCCCAGACTTTAATCACACAATTTAGAAGTAAAGGGAATGGGGGCTGGGAAGGTGGCTCAGTGGTAGAGTGCTTGCCTAGCATGCATGAGGCCCTGGGCTAGATGCCTCGGCACCACATAAACAGAAAAAAAGCCTGAAGTGGTGCTGTGGCTCAAGTGGTAGAGCACTAGCCTTGAGCCAAAGAAGCCTAGAGACAGTGCCCAGGCCCTGAGTTCAAGTCTCATGACAGGCAAAAAAGAAAAAAAAAAAAAAAAACAACAGAAATAAAGGGAATGATCCTAGGAGGAAAGCCTGAAATTTAAGAAGAAACAATTGAGAGCAGGTGGCACATCTAAATAAAATATAGTAATGCATGTTAGATTCAATTCATGAGAATATTTGTAAAGATAAAAGTCACTAGATACCTATAGCATGCGAGAGCATGAACGCATTCAGTAATTTTTTAAAAACACTTTTTACCAAAGGCAGAAGTGACTGCAGTGAAACCTGTTTGGGAGCCGTGCATGTTCCTGGCCATCCTCGGGGCCAAAACGGCAACCGCCACCTGTCCACCCACAGGGGAGCGGGCGAGAGGGGTGCGTGAGTGCAGCGGTTAGGAAGGAAGGGATCCCGTGAGTGCATAGACAAGGGCAGAGGAGGCACGTCGCCTCCCAGCGGTGAGCTGAGCTCCCCAGCAGCACGCCCAGGCCTTGTGGGCTCCCCACCCTCACAGGGCTGGCTGAGAGCCAGCGCCCCACCTTCACCCAGGCGGAGCACAGACCGGAGCCCCCAGAGGAAGGACCGCTGAAGGAAAGTTCTCCTATGGGTCCACCTCTAGTTCCTCGGCTTTCTGCCCAGATAAGTTGGGGGTGTTTCCCTCTGGACTAGCCCAGCAATAAAGACTGCTTCTCCCTAAAGGCCCTCTTCATCCCTACCAGTGCTGGGGCTCCAGCCAGGCCTCTTTGGCCCTGGTTAGATCCGGGTCCCCATGGACCAGCGCCTCTGTCCTTCAGCAGGTGCCCCCTACGAGGCCTCTCGAGCCTGCGCCGTGTTCTAGTTCTATCATGCATGGCCCTGGGCTGCTCTGTGTTCTAGTTCTATCTATCATGCATGGCCCTGGGCTGCGCCGTGTTCTAGTTCTATCTATCATGCATGGCCCTGGGCTGCGCCGTGTTCTAGTTCTATCTATCATGCATGGCCCTGGGCTGCACCATGTTCTAGTTCTATCATGCATGGCCCTGG